TTCACTGCTCTGCTGGAGTAAACGGTCTGAAGCTCAAATTCATCATGCCACTAAAAATGTCAGACCTTTATCTACCATTCGGACGTGAGCAGCAGGCCTTCAGTCCATGGCACTTACACTCTCTCCAGCAAACCATCTTGTGGTTCTTCATCTCCGGCTTCCTTCCTTGGTTCCTGGCTCACCGTCTGCCGCCTGGGACCACCAGTTTTGGGGAAGCAGAGACGATGCTTTTATCTGTGTGTTCCTAGCACTGACCTGTGCCCAGCACGTAGAGAAGGCCCCACAGCCCCCTGCAGTTGGTGGCCTCTGCTTCTCCCACCTCCCATCCTGGCTTGGTCACGTCTTCCTTCTCCGGCAAGACTGATCCACTTGGTCACGGCGTCCCTCTGACATCATATGTTTCTAATTTACCCATATTACCCTTTCTCTCAATAGAAAAATTCACAGGAATTTTATCTCCAATTCTCTTATATTACTTACCACTTTTTCCATATCATAATTTTCAGCCTGTGTTTTCTATTGTATTTTAGTTCTCTCCAGGCTAAGAGCTATCCCTTGCAATGTTGAGAAGGGGTGGGGGTGGGAGACCTAACGTTATCCTACTCTAAAGGAGCAGTGTCATCATTGTGGTATATGTATCCTTCCAGTATCTTTCTATGGATCTGGTAGGTATGTAATCTTATATTGTCATAAGTTTAGTGACAGATGCAATCCACTTTTTTGTTTGGTTTTGTGTTGTTGTTATTTTATTGTTAGTGTCAGGTGTACAAAACAACACAGTGATTAGATATTTATACCCTTCACGGAGTGGTTAATCCCAACAAGGGGTTATTACACTACCACTGGATGCAATCCACTTTTAATCCCTTTGGCTAAGTATTCAATAGTAGTATGTAGTGTTTTAGCTGCTTTACCTGGACTTTAAAGGAGTTGTAAAGTTACTGCTGTTATACATGACTTTCAGAAGGAGAAAAATCGCTCCAGTCGTTTGGAAAACAAAAAATGACTTGCTTAAAAATATCTCTAGTAGTGTCAGAACCATAAAATAGAGTGGTTAGAAACCTGTTCTCCCCTGAGTCCTGAGCAGTGTAGCCTATAGAAACGCGACTTCTGTGTTTGCGTCCACGTTACCTCACCCACGTCCCACTATTCGCTGCTGGTGTTGAGCATTAGAGTGAGATCCTTTCCCTTAGAGACTTGACATAGGGTCCATCAGGATTGTGGGATTTATTTTCAAGGGCATCTAACACTGTCAAAGAAGTTAGGGAGTGAAGGATAGAGAGAGGAACTAAGTGAGCTCACCTGCCAGGTCTGAACTTGATTAAGCTTGTATTCTTTGTTGTAATTTATGCTAATACCCATTAAATCTGTAAAGCAAGACTGAAGTACTGTTTATATGAAAAACATATATAAACGCTTTTAGGTACCGTGCTGTAAATGAATATAGTACTGTATAATTATTCTGATAGTCTTCTAGTCAGATTACCTGGAAAATCCAAAATGATCTTGATAAGCAGTAAGACATTATGATTTCATGGTTCATCCGTATACCTCCTACCTAGATGTACAGCACTCGTATCTAACAGGATTACCAAATTACACCTTCGTGATATCTGTAGCATGCCTGGAATACCAGTGGATTCATTGGCTCCTTGTGGTTATGAAACCAGAGGAGGATTTGTTTACACACATCGATAGCCTTCAGGTTTCTTGTACCATTTTGAGAGAGAGGAGATGCTCTTTTTATTGTATCTCAGCCTTTGTTTATTCAGATCATTAATTTTTTTTTAAAAAAACGCCCCTTTTCTAGATAACACACTGTGTGGTTCACTTTTCACTAACCTAACGTCTGTGCAGGGATAAGTTAGCGAATATGCTTGTTTCGTGCCTTGACACACTGCCAGCAAGTGAGACTGGTGAGCCATGTGGCTGTGGGGTGGCTGGTGCTTGCTCAGGGCGGGTCACGGGGCGGGAGGGGTGGTGGCGAGGGGAAAGCAGACAATCAGAAACACATTTCTCCGCACTGCCTCAGTTGTCTGTAGAAGATGGTGAATATGCATCTCTGGTTGAAATGCTTCTGACAGGTTCATTTATAGTTTTAAGTAGCCTTTGTTTAAAAACTCCCGAATCTGTGTTTCCAATCTAGGCCTCTATTAGTTTGCTAGGGCTGCCGTAGCAAAGTACCACAAACTAAGTGTCTTGAAAAAAAAAAGAGAGAAAAAGAGAAAAAGGAAGAAAGGGAGGGAGGGAGGGAGGGAGGGAGAGAGAGAGAGAGAAAGAGAAAGAAAGTAAGAAAGAAAAAGGAGAAAGAGAAAGGAAGGAAGGAAAATGAAAGAAAGAAAGAAGCAGTGTTTCCCAGTTCTGGAGGCTGAGATCAAGGTGTCAGCAAGTTAGGTTCCTTCTGAGGCCTGCGACGGAGAATCTGTACCACCTTGCTCCTGGTGGTTTGCTGGCCATCTTTGGTGTTCCTTGGTTTATAGAAGCAACATCCTGACCTCCACCTTCATCTTCATATGACATTCTCCCTGTGTGCATGTCTGTGTCCAACTTTTCTCTTTTGGTAAGGACTCTAGTCTTATTGGATTAGATGCTGTCCCCATTCTGCTATGAGCTCCTCTTAACCAATTATATTTGCAACAACTCTATTTCCAAACAAGGTCATACTCTGAGGTACTGGGGGTACATGACGCTTTGGAGGAGCACAAGTCAACCCTGTTAGCCACTGTCCTGGACTCACACTGGTCTTTTGGTTTCCTGCTGGACGTTGTACTTCAGTGTCCCACTGGTACCTCAAATTTAACTCAGTCGAATTGATCTTACTCTCTCAAAAGCCCCTTCTCTCTAACCTCCCCCCCTCCCCGCCTTTTAATTCTTTACTTTTGGTGCTAATATCAATGATCCCACTCAGTTGCCCACGTTACAAGTGTTGGGAGTAACTTGGCCTATTTCCTGGTCCTGAGCCTCTGACATCCAGTTGCTATCAAATTTTGTCATTCCTGCCTCAACTATATTTCTCTAGCCTTTCCTCTCTTTTAAGTCCTGGTGCTCTAGCTCTGTTTTAGACTCCTGCTGCCCCTAGCTATCCGGCTGCCTCCCCACATCTCATCTTTTCTCTGTTCAATTCATCTTCCACACCCATTCCTTTTCTAAAACAAAGCTCCGAACTGGGCCTGTACGAATCCCAAAACCTTTAGTGACGTCTCACTCCTGCAAGAAAGTCAAAATCCTGTAACTTGGCCTTTAAGGTCCTCCACGGGTAGCTGGCATGACACCTCAAGTCACTCTTACTCTTCATGACCTACACATACGTCCTTTTCTAAACACAGCACACCCCATTGGTCTTCACCTCTTCCTTTGCGCTGTTCTTTTCTCCGTTTGGAACATCCTCCCTCTGCCCTTCTCTCCCTCTTCCTGTATCAGTTGGAATTCTGTCTCAGTCAGATGGAAACCAGGACACCTGCTGTTTAGGCCCAAATGCCAGAAGCCAGTTGGCTCACCTTACACCAGCCATTAACTTCTAGTTTCCTCAAAAGTAAAACAAGGCGATGGCAGGAGATTGCTAAGATCTTTTCCACTTTAAAATGTGTTCTTTAAATGCAACGCTTCCATGAAGCATTCCCCAGTTCTCCTGGGCAAAATAAGTCACTCCTTCTTTTGTGGCCTTAGTGCTTTATTCCTTCAATTTTGACACTGGTCTCTTGCATGCTGGTGGGTGTACATGCACCTGACTGCGTTCCCCCCCCCCCGACAGGTTGTAAGCAATTTGAGGCCAGCAAGGAATGTTTGGCTCAGGTTTTCCCTCCTCACCTGCCTACCCCTGGTCTTGCTTGTACATAGATGCTCAGTGAGACATACTGTGTAGTAAGGGGTAAAATGTCCTGGGGAAGTATTCTTGTGTAACACGTGCTGTCCTTGAACGTGCCCATGCATTTGTAAGGATGTGTTTTGGGTGGCGGATGACATAGAGACAGGGCGTTGAACACACTAGGAGTTTTTCCTTTCTCTGTGACATTGTTATAATCAAGTGACATTCTGGGAACAGCTAATTTAACTTTGTAACACTTACGTTGTATAAAAATGTGTTCTGTCAGATGTTTAGAAGTAATTAAGTGTCCTGTGAAACATAGGAAAACACTCCTGTTTTCTCCCTCCTATATCCTCCAGAGAATTGGACTATCTCAGTGTATCATTGAAATAGTTGAACATTTAAAGTACAAAATAGTGGCAAAGGACATTTCTAGGGGACCTTTTGTGGATTTGCTTACTCCTTGAAAGTCAAAGCATCTGTGGCCTGTCATGCTTTTCCTGTCTGATAGATTTGATCATGTCATGACCTTGTTCAGAAACTTTGAATCACTCCTTGCTTCCTAGAGAAGAAAAACCAGGCCCTTTTCTTGTCTTCCGGCCCATTTCTGGTCCTATACTTTTAATCTCATTTCACAGCATTCTCTTTTATGCATCCTACTGTCCAGACAAAATCAGTTCCTTATACATGCCCTAGCATTCTTGCATGTCTGATTTATCTGTATCCCACCACCCCCAGCATCCCTAGTTTAACCCAAATGTGGTCCGTAGATATCAGTAATGAATGAATCTGTCAACCATTTTTACATGGTGTATAAGGGTATTAATAAACGACAAAGCTGCTCTATTTTGCTGTTGCACAGTCACATCTTTAGCTAATGTATGAAGCTTTAATTTTAGAATCCAACAATATGCCTGCAACCAAAATAACATGTTGGGTAAACAGTTACATTTGAAATTATAATGCATCTAACGTGTCACCATATCCTCAAACCTGTCATGTCTTTTAGATTCTGTACATTGTTATTTCAGTCCACTATATGTAAAAGGAAATGCTAAGTGTTTATAAATGTTTTATGTTTGCATTTTGTTTTTTGACAGTGACATTTTATGTTTTCTCCTTAGTGCATATTTGTGTATGCTTTTATTTCCCACAAGCTACTGACTTGATGCTTTGTGCTTGTTTTATGTTGCAGATTAATATCCTTTCAAGAATTTGTAGCATTTGAATCTGTCCTGTGTGCCCCGGATGCTTTGTTCATGGTGGCCTTTCAGCTGTTTGACAAAACTGGCAAAGGAGAAGTTACTTTTGGTAAGGGGTTTGAGTGTGTGCACACCTAAGTAAGTGCAGGGTTATGTGAGCTTTTTTTTTTTTTTTTCTTTTTCAGGAATGAACTGTATGGAAATGCTTTTAAAAAGATAGCATATCCCTTGTAACAAAGATATCAGTGTTAGGGGGGCTGCAGTCCCAGCTGTCACCCTATGTGAAAAAATAAGTTTCTGACTTAGTAGTTCTGATACTCTGGTTTACTTTTAAGGTGAGTGAGGATGTGGCTCTGCATTTTCACGGAGCCGTAGAATGTGAGAACAAGATAGGACTCCTGTTTCTGGGCCTCGCCATCAGTAGTGCTTTCCACTGAGAGAATGAGGAAGTGAAGAGCTGCCTGAGAACAGAAGGTCCTCATGTACCCAGTACTTGGTGTCCTTACCTTGTCCCCGTGGAGTAGCTTGAGGTCAGAAGCTCCGCACAAGACGGTGATTCAGAACATGAAGAACCTTGTTCTTCTGAACAGCACATTCCCCCGTAGCTGTCTTGGCAGTGCCTGCTGTGCTTCTGCCATCTTTATTTTGAAAGGCAGAACCGTCTTCATGGAGATTAGCTACCACGCTGCAGAAAACACTGAGGTCTTTTAAGTATTAGAAAAAAGGGAAGATCAGGAATTGACGGGGTTGTGGTAAATTCTTTTTTAAAAAAGAAACTGGCTACTGCAGATAGATTTGACAGAGAGTCCCGCGTTTCCCTTGGACTGAGTGGTGTCCAGCATACGCTGTCTGTGCATGTGAACTTGCTAGAGACAGCACTGCCCATGAAGAATTTTGGAGCCCTTTTGGGCATAGGGATTGTGTGTTCAGGGGAGATGGCTGATGTGTTCATTTTAAATGTATTTATTCATAGTTTTCACTTTATTCAGACCTTTTGGGCTTGTCTTACTGGATGGAGTCTGAGAAGCGTATAGATGAGGGAAAATACAGGTGGTGTAATAGCACACCATCTATTCTGGGGTGGCTCTGGAATGGATGTGGAATTGGAGAGACTTAGGTACTTCTATCCTGTTCTGCCACTTTTGTCTCTGAGCCAGGTTAATTCTCCTCTCATCATTTTTCTATTCAGAAATAAAGATAATAACTACATAAAATACAGGTAAGAGACCATAACAGACTTATTCGGGCCGCTGTCCCCCTCCCCCGCCCACTGTTCCATGTTCATTTGACGTGAGTTATTTAAGCCCAGGGCAGAGGCAAAACACATATATTTGGTTTTGTTTCATATAATCTGAAAGCTCACATGCCTTTCATTAACACTTCATGAGGATTATTTAATATTTAAAAACCCCTAGAAAAATTTGTTTATTTTTTTCTTTTCCATCACCTAATACCTCTTAGCATCACTGTAACCACAGCCTTTCAATGGAACACCAATCAAAAAAAAAATGTCCGCATTAAAATCTTCACATAATAAAGGAGCAGCTAGCTCAGGGTGGTGCTGATTTACCCAGTGGAAGCTGTTTGGACGAATGTGTTATGATAGCGTTTCCTTGGGATGAACAAAGAAAAGCCTGTGAGTGAGTGAGCTCAGCACAGGTGTGTTCTCTCTCATCGTCCTCCTTTCTGCAGCACGTCTGGAGGGAGACAGCTGGGTTGGAGATTGGGGACTGAGGACTGGACTTCACGTGTTTCCCTTGACTCTGATCAACCTTCCCGTCATGGGCGTAAAATGTCAAGAGATGTTGGTGCTACCAGCCACACCACTGGCCTGGTGGAGGAAAGAAACGAGAGACTTTCACCAGTGCAGAGACGGGTGTCTGTGTTAGTGTCATTGGAAGAACAGCTGAAGATGCAGGATGTGGGAGACGGAAGTCATCTGTGAGTTGTAGAAAGAACAGTGGCAGGAGAATTCCATTTCTGGTTTTTTCCTAGTGGCTTGTTGATGGGCAGGCAAGACATTTCAACTCTCTGAGCCTTATTTTCCTCATCTATAAATTCAGGGTAATATTCTTCCTTACAGGACTACGTAAGGCTTAAAAGGTCTACCACACATAAAGGTGCTGTCTGGAAAGCAAAGGCCTTTATTTAAAATAATATTGCTAAAAGAAAGCACTTGAGAGAACCAGGGAGGGCGACGGTCTTGTTCTTCCTCTTCCTCCTCTTGCCCTCCCTCGCCGCCATTCCCCCTCCTCCTTGACCTCTTCATTCTTAACTCGCAGTTGCATCACTGGCTAGTTAACCAGTAATTGGCTTGCCATCTGTTCTGTATTGAACACAGCCCCAACTCTGAAGGCATGTAAGAGATTGAAGTAAGAAATTGGGGCTTCCAAGGAACTAAAACTCCAGTCACTTCATCAGTTACGTACATGTGACCATCGTAGAAGAATGTACAGCCCCTCTCCCAATACCCTGCCTTCCACACGGAGTTTGTTCCAGGGTCTGCCTGCCTTACAAAACATAAGCAGGGTGTGTCCTGTATCCGTCACCCTGTGGATATCATAAAAGGTAGCCTCGGCTTTTCTGAGCTCTTAATCCCTAGTTAGGATTACATGCAAAGAGATATGCATAGTACAATGAAGAGACCCAAATGACCATCAAATTGCAAAATATTAGCTGACTGTTAACATTTTTCATAAAGTAGGATAGAGTCATCCAGCGGAGGTGGGTGCTGCGTAACAGGCTTTTGCCCAAGTAAACAAAATCGTGGTGGGGGAGCACTGGCGGCCTAACGTGTGTTTCAACAGCAGGTTCCCTTTAGAAGAATCTAGCAATTAGTAGGTTTTCCAGGGAACTCATAATGGGGTTGAAGAAATTTAAAAAAAAAAAAGTTGGGCAGAAAAGAGGACCTACCTAGTCAATCCTGGCCTCACAGACCTGCCGTGTCAAGAGAAGCCTGGTCTGTGACCTGGCTGTCTGCCCACAGGAGGCCGCTTCGGGGATACGCAAACATCCCTCAGCTCCTTGTGTGTCCCTCACCCAGAATGAGCCTTTTGTATTTCAGAAGGTCGTCTACCTGAGTGTGCATCTTTGTCAGGACTAAGCATACAGAGTGGTGAGACATCAAGGGCCCTGTTTTACCTCTCAGATTGGCTCAGTCTTTTGGGATCCTGGGGTGAGCATTGTGTTCGCATTATATGGAGGCTCATCGGGGCTTCCCGTGGGCTGCAGGGAAGGTGGGCTGCAGCTCCCCCATGTCTCCCGCCTTGCGTTGCATCCAGAGGAGAGCAGTTACACTCTTCATCTGTTTATATATTGGGTTTCCACATAAAAGCTTGTTTGAAGCAGGGTTTCTCTCACTAAGCTCAGTCAGCACCAGTGTTTGTCAACAAGCCAGCAGTGCTCACGCCCCCACCAACACTGATCCTGATACACACCACTCGAAAGTCAGATGGAGCGCGGGGCAGATAATCAAGTGTCACATTTCAGTGAAATCTTGCCCCGTTTCCTCTGAAGCCTTGCTTATGTTTACCATATTTTCATGTCTAGATCACTCCCTGTGTTTGCTACAATGAAAAGATCTGGATTAGGTCAGTTTTGTTCCTTTGATTAGTTCATTATGTTCTCCTGTTTCCTTTGAGGCACAGCATATCTCCCATATTCTTGTTCTCACCGTGTTTTTTTGTTTTGCTATCCGATATTTATAAATGCATTTTGAGATATCAACAGGTGTATAACAGGATATCAGTAAGCATAGAAAATTCTAGTTAACAATTTACGAATATGTATGTGTGGAGTAGAGTATTTGGTTCTAAATGTTTTTATTGTATTTTTAGCCTGGTAGTAATATTTTACTTTTAAGTTTGTAAGTATACTTTATTGAAGTACAGCATACATGCAGAAGAATGCACAAATCCTAAGTGCACATCTTGATGAATTTTTGCACAAGTATATAGTTGTCTTATCCCCATCAAGATAAGAGAAGGAGGTATCACCACCCACAGGTTTCTTTCCAGTTACTGCCCCCCAGTCAAAATAGTAACAACTCATATCTATCACCATCATTTTGGTTTTGCTCATTTTTAAACTTCATGAAATGGAACAATACAGAATGTATCCTTTCATTCTGATCTTCTTTTGCTCAAATTTTATTTGTGAGATTCATCCAGTTTTTGTCACAGCTTTACTTTTTCTTTGCTGTATAGTATTCCATTTTGCAACCTTTTCTAGTTTGGGCTGCTGCAAATAATGTGCTTTTCTATATATTTTTGGGTTGTGTGTGTGTGTGTGTGTGTGTGTGTCTGGGCATTTCTAGGGGTAGGATTTCTGGGTCATAGAAAACGTGTAGATTTAGCTTCAGTAGATATCGCCACGCTGTTTCCCAAAGTGGCTGTATCAGTCAGTGTACATTCACACCAGCAGAGTATGAGAGTTTCAGTTATTGCACATCTTTGCTAATACTTGGTATTGTCAGTCACTTTTATTTTAATGACATCTCTCTATGTGGCTTTGATTTGTATTTCCCTGATTACTAATGAATTATACAACTTATAAAAAATATTTGTTGGCCCTCTGAGTCTCCCTCTTTAGTAATGCTTATTTTCTAGATACAAGGCCTTTGGGGTTTATATTATATGTCTCACAGATACCTTTCCTCTGTGATTTGTACTTTCACTCACTTGATGGAGCCCTAAGGCACATAAGTTTGTAATTTTAATGTAGTACAAATTATTAGCGTTTTCTTTTATGGATAAGCTTTTTTGTGTCCTGTTGAAGAAATCTTTGCTTACCCCAAGGTCTGAAGATATTCTCCTATATTGTCTTTTATTGGTTTCCTTTCAAATTTAGATATTTGACTTTCTAGAATTTGGTGGGGTTTTTTATTTATTTATTTTTGCATGTAGTGTGGATCAAGATTCTTCCCCAGCCCCCCATGGGGATGTAGTTCACCCAGCACCATTTATTGAAAGGATCACTCTTTCATTGCCCTATAGTGACATAAATCAAGTGTGGGTCTGTTTCTGAGCTCTATTCTTTTATAATTGTCTATTCTGCACCAATGCTATACTATCTCAATTACTACAGCTTTTATAATGAGTTGTAATATCT